ATGTGAACACTGGTGGAGTTTGCAGAAAATAGATCTTGACATTTGGGAGTTGTAGTTGCTGGGATTTATAGTTCACCTACAATCAAAGAGTATTCTGAACTTCACTAACTATGGAATTGAACCAAACTTGGCACATAAAACTCCCATGACCAACAGTTATTACTGAAAGGGTTTGGTGGGCATTGACCTTGAGTTTGGGAGTTGTAGTTCACCCACATCCAGAGAGCACTGTGGACTCAAATAATGATGGATCTGGACCAAACTTGGCACAAATATTCCATATGTCCAAATATGAATACAGATGGAGTTTGGGGAAATAGACCTTGACATTTGGGAGTTGTAGTTACTGGGATTTATAGTTTACCTACAATCAAAGAGCATTCTGAACCACACCAACGAGAGAATTGGGCCAAACTTCCCACACAGAACTCCCATGACCAACAGAAAATACTGACCAAATTCTGTTGGTCATGGGGGTTCTATGTGGGAAGTTTGGCCCAATTGTATCATTGGTGGGGTTCAGAATGCTCTTTGATTGTAGGTGAACTATGAATCCCAGTAAGTACAACTCCCAAATGTCAAGGTCTATTTCCCCCCAAACTCCATCTGTGTTCATATTTGGGCATTTGGAGTATTCGTGCCAAGTTTGGTCCAGATCCATCATTGTTTGAGTCCACAGTGCTCTCTGGATGTAGGTGAACTACAACTCCCAAACTCAAGGTCAATGCCCACCAAACCCTTCCAGTATTTTGTTGGTCATGGGAGTTCTGTGTGCCAAGTTTGGTTCGATTCCATTGTTGGTGGAGTTCAAATGCTCTTTGATTGTAGGTGAACTATAAATCCCAGCAACTACAACTCCCAAATGAGAAAATCATTTTTTTTTTTTAGTGAAGGACATACATTGGGTTGTTAGGGTTCTTGTGTCCAAATTTGGTGTCAATTCATCCAGTGTTTTTGGAATTATGTCAATCCCACAAACGAACATTGCATTTTTATTTATATAGATATTATTATATTATATTATATTATATTATATTATATTATATTATATTATATTATATATATTATATTATATTATATTATATTATATTATATTATATTATATTAGCTGTACCCTGTCACGCGTTGCTGTGGCCTATAGTAAATCCTTTCAAAGTAGAGGTAGATATCTGGAGTATTATGAAAGAGAGGTACCTACCTATTCCTTCCCCCTTTTTCTCCCCCTTTCTCTCCTTTCTTCCTTCTCTACCTCTTTCTTTCTTTCTTTCTTTCCTTCTTTCGCTCCTTGGTTTCATCCTTCTCTCTTTCCTTCATTCCCTCCCCCTTTCTTCCTTTGCCTCCTTTCTTCCCTCCATGTTTCCTTCCTTCTTTCATTTTTTATTTCCTTTTCTCCTTCCTTCTTTACCTCTTTCCTGCCTTTCCTTCCTTTTATTTTTCTTTCCTTTCTACTTTCTCTTCTTCCTTCCCTCGGTACCTCTTTCTTTCCTGCCTTCCCTCCTTCCTTTCTTCCTTCCCATTGCTTACCAAACCCTTCTCGTGCTTTCTGTTGGGTCATGGGAGTCCTGTGTGCCACGTTTGGTTTAATTCCGTCGTTGGTGGAGTTCAGAATGCTTTGATTATAGGTAAACTATAAATCCCAGCAGCTTCAATGGAGGGGGGTGGGAGGAGGAGGAGGAGTGCAGGGGCGGGGCGTTGGTGGGTGTGGGCGGGGCTTCAGCGGAGGGGGGGAGGAGGAGGCGGGGGGCGTCGTGGGTGTGCGGAGCATGGCTGGAAGGGAGGGAGGGTGCGTTGGCTGTTTGGCCATGTGCGCGCGCCAGGGACTTTGCGCCATTGCGCATGCTCAGTTGTTTTGTCCTTTTGTGAGTGTGTTGTTGTGTTGTTTTTTTATTTTGATTTGATTTGTTTGTACCTTGTGGGTTGAGGTATGTGCATGGGAATTTTGGTTAATTTTCGTTGGGTTTTTTTTTGAGTTTTGCTGTCCCGTTAGACGCCCCTTACAGATTTATATATATAGATTATATTATC